GGGGGGGGGGGGGGGACGGGACATTATTTAAAAGGCAGCAGGTTGACTAATCTTATGGATAAACTGTGCATGATACCACTATCTTACAACTGTATATTAAAAGAACTGCTACATATGAGGTATAACTTTTTAAAACAAGGAAACAGTTCCATGCATATGGAAATAAATAGAATAGAATTCTCCATGGTCCAAATGTGATTGGGCCCATAAGGACTTTGTCTTCGGTGCAGATGCTGCGCTCAGCGTATATGAAAGAAAAGACACATCCGTCACCAATCATAAAGTACAGCACTTAATGATAGTCAGGGTACAAATAAGCAATCAAACCACACTTAGGAAACAATCAATATAAATGGTAAGGATGCAAGCAGCAAAGTTACCCTCATACGGTCATAAGTGGGAGGAGCTGGGTGACAGGGACGATGGGAAGGTTAACAGTAATAGTAATGCAGACTTAGTGAATAGTTTGACGGTGTTGAGGGGATTATTTGTTTGCTTGTAATTATTTGTAAAATGAAAAGAAAATGCAACTTTCCCCTCACTCCTCACTCCTGGTTCCCAAAGTGGCTCACTGTGCAACATTGGGCCACACTCTCCTCACAACCACCGGCAAGCACAAGAGCCTCTTCCGTTTAGCTCAGGGCTCGGGTTAAGCCCAGCACTTCAGCCCAACTAAGGGCCTGGTCCAGTGTTGTGAAAGCTTCCGTGGCCCTTGTCAGTGCGGCCGTCTCTCGCCAGCACAGGGAGCTCCGGGCCAATCCAGTTGCCTCTTGCCAACTTGAGTGAGTGGCCTAGCTGGCCTGATTCCCCACGGCCCCCCTCCGGGGGGGGGGGGAGGAAAGCCAGCCATTGTGACCGCCCACCGAGTCTCCGGCTGGAGGAGAAACGGAGGATTTCCTGTCCCGGAACCAGCGGTTCCGCCTCCTGGGCCCCTCCCTGTGGTTATCACCCCCCCAGTGGAGAGGGTTCCACCCTAGTCCTGCCCCGTGTTGCCTCTTAGTCATACTTAGCAAATTTCCCAGCCCAACAAGTCATAATCGAGAGCAACAATGCAATTTTCATTATCACTATTATCATACCAAGTAAGGTTATCACTCTGAGCAAGTTTCCTCAGAATGCCAATGGCTCGCTTGGCTCCCCCAGGGAAGATTCTGACTGAAAAGACAGTGCCCTCTGCCCTCTGCAGCCCTCAGCCAGGAGCCCAATTAAGCCTGCGCAGCATCCTTCAGTTAAACGAGCATCAAATGAGTACATTTCACATATCTGTCACAATTCACAACGTCCAGAAATTTCCAAAAACAAATCACATCATACCTTAGCCACCCCATGTCTCCCCTGGGGTTCAAAATCAACATGTTGAAGGCCAGCCGAACCTCAAAGGAGTTCGGCTCTATGGGAGGCCAGATGTGGCTACCTTGAAGGAAAATGGAGCCTCCAAGTTCCATTCACGCTGGGTGCCAAATGTAACATTTGAGAATACATTTGATGTTTGAGAACACATCCAAGTCACCATGAGCCAAAACTGAGATTTAAAACGGAGGCTTGAATAACAGTCAGCGTTTAATCTTCGATCAAAGTTTAAAGACAGGATGGCCAGTTGTTCCCAACATACCCCAAGGATATGCAGGGAGAGAAATACACTTCAGAGAAGGTGTAGCTCCTTTTTATACAGTCAGAAACATCATAAAATGGCATTCTGGCTTCACAATACTCTCACTAGCTTTATTAGTCTTATCTCTTTCCTCTGTTCTCACGATTGGCCATTTGACAGGGAACAGATCAAAGGTGAGATACTTTCTTAGGCAGAAGGTGAGGCATAGGTTTTGACAAATGCCAGGTACTTTCCAATAACAGCATTTCCCCTTAGGAAATAAAAGCACCAGGGTCTAATGTGGCATATTTGTGTTACAACTACAAAGGGCGTAACAGGCATCACAAAAGGCGCAACATATATGTGTCACAGGAAACAAATATTCACAGCATGCAAGTATACAAAGGCATCATCTAGTACAGTGTTTCTCAACCTTGGCCACTTGAAGATGTCCGGACTTCAACTCCCAGAATTCCCCAGCCAGCAAATGCTGGCTGGGGAATTCTGGGAGTNTGAGTCCTTGGGAGAAGGGCGGCATATAAATCGAATAAACCAAACCAAACCAAACCAACTATTGCGGCAAAATAGCAGTATGATGTTCTTTCACTTGCGAACTGTCAGAAAGACACCCCAGTTTTTGAAGAAGTGACTGACTTAAAAAATATATATCTTTTACAAAACTTACAGAATCAAAGAGCGTACAGAGAAGCTCTTGAAGTTCAGCCCCTGATAGAATCACACCCAAGGATGTTCTCCCAAATGGAAAACAGAGAAGGGCCGGGGGTGTTTACTCCAAGGACGCCTGGTGCCCAGTCCAGTAAAAAGACAAAAATTGGGAGGTAAAAGAGGGGAGAAGAGCAGAATGACAGAACTGGAGAGCTGGAGGGACCTTGGAGATCTTCTAGTAGGACCCCCTTGCTTAAGCAAGAAACCCTGTGCCATTTCAGGCAAATGGTAGAAAACCACCAGACCAGGAAAGTCCGGCAAGATGCAGCAAAAAGATTCTCAGAAAAACCTGGGATCCGAAGTCCAGCAACGAGCAAATGCTTCTCCTCCCTCCCCAGTTACTCCCCCCGCCCCCGCAAGGTAGGCAGGCAGCTAATTCAGCTCTGAAAAGCTGCGGTGGTTGCACAGCAGAGAGAGGGGTCGCAGGGGCAGCAGCAGGAGGGTTGGGGTTCAGGTATGACATCCTGGCACGAGCCGCTCGGCTGCTCCGTGACGGCTGGCTTCTCCTTGGAGAACTGCTCCAGCTGCAGCCGGCCTCCCTGCCGGGGAAGCGCCTTCTCAGACTTGACGGCGAGGAAGGCCGCGAGGTCCAAGTCAAGCATTGCCACCCCTCCGCGTGGGGTAGGGGTGTTCTGGCGGCACTGGGGGCAACGGATCCACCACTGCTCGTTGGCCGTTACATTGAGGCGCCGGATGCAGGCCTGGCAGAACGCATGGCCACAGTAGAGGCGGCGAGGGAGGCGGGCAGAGAGGTCATAGCCGCAGTAACAGATGACGCACTCCAGTTTGAGGCTGCCGGGACCGGGGACGGAGGCCTCCGGGATGGGCTTGGCAGCCTCATCGTCCTCAGGCCCGGAAGGCAGAGCAGTCCTGCAGGGAGGAACCCAAGGGAGGAGTGGGTCAGGGCCAGACGTGGACGGCAACAGCTCCAGCTGGTCTCAGTCGCCACTCTTTCAAACCTGCCTGCTGCAGAAGGCTGGTCAGCTGAGAGGCTGCCTCTGAACTCAGCCTGAAACTCCTAAATTCCTGAGTCCCCTTCGGGGGAAAAGGACAGCATACAAATATAATAATAAATACAAATACAATACATCTACTCCGGAATCTGTTTCTAAAGCTCAGAACTAGAGTGAGAGGGGGGGGGAAGGGGGGGGAGAGGGCACAACTTCCCAGTCACATTGTGATCTAGACAGCCAGGTTGCTGGCAAAGGGACTTCAGGTTTTTAGGGGGCGCCTTACTCCCTTGGAGGCACCGTCTGCAATTTTAATGCAAAGCTGTCCAGCAAAACCGGTCCCTTGAAATCAGGGGACAACCAGCCGGCCCCTTAAGAGCCTTCATTCAAGTGAAAAGCGAGAAAGTTAGATGGAAACCCCACCCGAGTGCAGCTCCCCAAAAGGGGCGACCTCCGGACTGTGGTCAGCAGGCCACCCTAAGGGTTCACCTTACCCAAAGCCAAAGAGCGGAGGCCGACGGGGGCTGCACAGTCGGCAGGCCGGTCTCTGCGGGAGAAACTTACGTTTCCTGCTCCTGCTGCATCTTCTCTCTCCTCCAGAAAGAGAAAAGGGAGATTGGCAGCTTCTGGCCGCAGCCTCTCACGCTGTTAAATTATACCAGAGGTTCACATTTCAGGCACAGTTGCTGGGACTGTATCTACCACGAGGAGGCTGAGATAGAGTTACAGGTGTCCTGGCCAACAATAGCCACAGAAACACAACTAGAGGCTCCCTCTTTGCCTGCCTCCTCCAACTCATCCCACCCGCACTCCCCTGGATGTCGGTCATGAAACCACCTTCTGCACAAACGCCTGAAGTGCTCACCTCCCACCCACGGGAGAAAGGACCCCTAGGACTGAAAGATGGGGGGGGGGGAAGAGAGAGACTGTTCTATCCGAAGTTCAGGACTGTCCCAGAGGCTGGGAGAAGAATACCTGGGGGAGAGAGGATGTTGGTGGAGGAGCCTTAGGCGAGAAGCTCCTTGGGCAACCTGGAGAACAGTCGGGGGGGGGGTCACACTGCTTGCAACAAGAGGCATGGGAGGGGGGGTTGCATGGGAGGCGAGGCTGCTGGTAGAGTGGCCCCTTCTGCAGATTCAGATCAGCCGTAGGAATGCTAATGCTTGAAAGCACAACCGTGGCCAGTGGTCCAGAAGGGGGCTTTTCACCAGCAGCTCCAAAACTGGGACTTCTTCCTCTTACAGAAATGTTACTCCTCTTTGGGCAAATCTTAAATGCCACTCAAGCCTCTCCTTGGTAGCCTTCAGGCTAAAGAGACTGGTCCCTGCTATTTGAGCTGGCTTTCTAGATATGCCGCATTAAGCATTTATTGTAAATTGCCTTCTGAAAGAAAGATAAGGAAGTTAAAGAACAATTCTGCATTTCTGAAAAGTTCAGAGTTGGGCCACCTGTTCCTTCATGGGGCACTTGTTTTTTGTTTTTTTTCTCATAATGTTCCCATAATTCCCAAATGGGCTGAACAATAAAAGGAAGCCGGAAGAGAATGGGACTGTTTCAAACCCAGAGATGCTTTGCCCGTCCTTCAGATCCCCCTCTTCCCACGGACAAGACCAGATGCTTGGCTGTCAGAGAGTCCAGACAGGGTCTCTGCCCCCTCCCCAGAAGTCAGGCCCCAATAGAGGCTGCCCGTCCAAAGTCTTCCCGGAAGGGCTGCTGGCGGATGTTGCCCTGTCTTCTGGCTGCAATAATGGAGATCGGAGGGCAGAAGGGACCATGGGCCAACCCTGTAAAGCCTTGCCCACATGGGGCATAGACTTTCTAGGGTGCCCCACTTCACGAAGCAGCCTCACTGCCATTTCTCTAAATCAATCCCACGCCTAAAGTTTCCCCCCCAAGCTATCATAGTTTCTTTAACTTGTTCCTCTTGTAATTTAACCTCCAATAAATATCCATATAGTTTTTAAATTACTTTTTCATCAGTACCTGTTAGGATTTTATCTAACTCAGTCATTTTGTTGTAAAAACCTTTTGATTTTCTATCTTCATTATATCTAGATTGTATCTGTACATATGAGTACCAATTCATTTCTATCCCTTCTTGTTTCAACTCTTGGATAGATTTGAGTTCACCCTCTGCATTCAATATTTCAACATATCTAACTGTTTTTTTTCCTTTTTATATATTATTGGATATGAAAATGCTTCAATTGTTGATATCCAGACTGGAATTTTTAAGTAGTGTAATCTTTTAACCTTTTCCCAGTTTAATAACAA